GAGTGATCTGCAGCAGGACTGAGTGCGTCTGCGGCAGGACTGAGTGGTCTGCAGCAGGACTGAGTGGTCTGCAGAGGCCTGGACTGAGGACAGGAAGGACGGCAAAGGCTGGCTACTTCAGCCCCAGCCTGAGAAACTGATTTGTCTCAGCTTATGTCTATCTATTCACGTCAAAACTATGTTAAGAGTGAAATACATTTTACTCACTCAAGAGAACAACCAACCACCCAGAACAAGGATATAAAGAAAGGAGAACAGCTCTTGCCTACTTATTATCCATTCAGTCTGCAAGCATTGAGCAAATACAAAGGCGATTACAAAATCCAATGTCCATATTCACATTAGTCAGCTGTATGTTCTCATGAGCTGATGACCAAATTTAGTAATTATTAAATAATTTTAATATCAACTGTGTATTCCCAATCTTTTAGTACTTATTAAACACATGATAAATAAAATATAATTTCACTGCCTTCAAACAACCAATATGTAAAATATAGGTAAGAGAGGAAATCTCAGAACAATATAAGAAAGATAGTAGCAAAAAACATACAAAATGCTGAAGTGTGGACAAAACCTTTTAGGTCTTCTGTGAAAGGAATATCTAAGTGACTTTGGAAGAATCTGAATGAGTTTGTTATATGGACTAAATGAAGGAGACTCTAAATGTAATAAACAATCTGAAAAAAGAAAAACAAGCATTAAATACAATGTTGCCTTCTTAATAAAAGATACAATTCAAAAATAACTTGAAAAGTAGAGGCAGGAGAAACAGCTTAGTCAGAAAGGGCTTCCTACTCGGCGTGAAGTCTGAGTTAAGAATCCCCAGAACCCAGTCAGGTACAGCAGCCTGCTCCTGTAACCCCAGCTCCAGTGAGGCAGAGACAGGCCGAGGTGGGCTGTCTAGTTGAAATGTCAAGATACAGGTTCAACGAGATACTCAAAAACAATCAAGTGAACAGAATAGGAAGACACTAACATCAACCTCTGGCCTCTACATGCACATGCTCACATATGCACATGTTTGTATAATTGCACAGAAGCACAGATGTGTACAAATACAAACGAAGGCAAAAAAAAATTGAAAAGTGGAACCACAGGAGATAAAACAGATGCTAAGGTAAAATCCCATTCATGGATGGTGTCATATGCCACGGCAATTACATGCCTAGCAGCAAAGAAGACCTTTCCTGTATCGCATTCTCTCCACCAATAGCATGTATTCAATCAAGTCAACGAGTCCTGGAGTTTTATGGACTCTGTGTCATGTGTATCTCCCTGAGCATTATCTTACTTTTTGTTGGCCGTTTCCCTGCTTTTTCAGCATCACAGTAAATCTAACACTACCTGATTAAAGTAACATCAGCCTCAACTGGTGCCACTGTCAACTAAGGAAGCTTACGTCTAACTTGAAGAAAATGTGCTGGCAATTGTTAGAGCTGCACAAACAACTCGTGAAGTCTATTGTGATAAATAGATAAAAATGAACTTTGGACAGAAGTTAAGACAGCACATCCTCTCTATGGACAGTCCCTAAGGAATCACTGCGTGTTCACTGTCGGCCAGATATTGTGGGTGGCTAGAGCTAAGGCAGAGTTATTCTTAGAGATCCAAGTTGACCACATCTCAGGTTGATAAAACTCTGGTGGGTCACATAGTTTGGACCAGGAGAATCTATTTTAACAAAGTGCTGAAGGAGCGTCAAGGCCTTCAGTTGCAGACTGGAGTGCATCACTGCCCTACCCCCACCCAACAGTTGGGAGGCTGCTGGCTTCTGGAAATGAGCAGCTCTCAGCCACTTCCTTTCCAGCACACCAAAAGCCACCTCTGCACTATCTAACCTACAATCAGGAGAGCCAGGCCGAGAAACTGAGTGGTTCTGTACTGAGAGAATATTGGTACTAATACATCCTCGTGACTCGAAGACTCTTGGGCTTCCTTTCATCTTAACAAATGACAAGCCATGTCAACATATCCTATTAGCATGAAAAGGCAGGGCTTTAGTATCATGACTTGCCAGACAAATTTAGAAATTTTCTTCTAATTTCATTTACTAGAACTGCATTGACAGCCATTTTCTATTTCAAGGAGAGCTAAGAAAGTGTTGTGGGTTTTCACTCTGTCTAAAAGGAGACTGCAAGAGAAAAGAAAATTGAAAATATCTGTTGGTACCCTACTAAGCAGTGTCTACATCAGTGTATTCTTTCAACTACTCAGCCTTTCAAACATATTTTACATGTAACATAGTTGTCTCTTCCCTAAAGGAGGCAATTCTAAAGTCTTAGCTAACTAATTAATTAAAAATAAAACCTCCAAAACCAAGATCTTTGAAGGAAAGCAAATCTTGTCATGACGTGTGAATGACTGTGAACCACTGACCTAAGTGAAACGATTTCATAAGCAGCAAGGAAAATGTGACTTCAGTAACAACTGCATTCAAAACAGCAATGCAGTGACAAGTGTCCACAGCACACGGCAGCGCCCACAGAGGAGCAACTGCTTCCCCCCTAGGTCACCCTATCTAGCAACCCCAAGTCAGTCATCCAAGGAGGCCTTTCACCACTGCCACTCGGGTTCCTGAGTCTACCCTTCAGGAGGATGACCTTTGTCCATCATCATCCTTGTCTTCATACGATACTGTCATTGACATATATACATACACATTTATGCATATGTGTGTGTATATGTGTGTGTGTATATACATATATATATATGTATATATACACAAACACACACACACACACACACACACACACACACTACAAACTGTAATGCTTGAATGTCCACTGCTAGTATTCATACCCTGCTAATATAAGCATGAGGTCTTGTGTATTCTCGTAGGGGTTGAATAGATAATATTTTCTATCAAGGTTAGTTGCTTTATCCATTAGCTACATGTGGTTTTTAAAATTTAAATTAATTAAAATTAAATGTAATCATCAATTTATCAGTAAAACCTTTCTCAAACTTCAATTGTTACTTGTGAATACAACCTACTGTGTTAGAGAAACAGAGGCCTGTCCAGATTCATTTGCATGTTCCAAATCCATACAAATATATTTTATCTTCTGGTCATCCCTTAACTTAAATGATAGACTGATAATTATGAAATCTTGTCAGCACATAGAAGCTAAGTTTCCATCATTAAATTTCAAATTTCTGGAAGTAGGAGCCATGATATAAAAGGAAAAAAGATAGCAGACCATTATGCACCCTATTTTTTTTTTTTTTTTTTTTTGATTTTTCAAGACAGGGTTTCTCTGTGTAGTTTTGCGCCTTTCCTGGGACTCACTTGGTAGCCCAGGCTGGCCTCGAACTCACAGAGATCCGCCTGCCTCTGCCTCCCGAGTGCTGGGATTAAAGGCGTGCGCCACCACCGCCCGGCCCTATGCACCCTATTTTAACTCCAGACACATTAAGTTGCCAGAGATTCTAAAGGTCATGAACTGCATGGATTGTCTGTCTGTAGGGAAGCTATGGTAGAAGGTGAATGTGAATAAAGCTCATACGTTCTCTGAAGAACCATGCCCAAATCAAGGATGATGAATACTTTGTGCATTAATTAACCCATTAATCTTCAAAACAGCCTCTAAAAGTGTTAGGATTCCTACGGATTTTAAAAGGGGAAAGAATTAAAATGTCCCTACTTCTACTCAGAGATTTCATTCCAAATCCATATTCAGTATTTGCCACAAAATGCACTGTCCCCAACTGAGTAGCTGAAGACTTTGAAAGGAAGCAAATTCCAGGTGGTTTAAAAAAAAAAAATAGTACTACACAGAAGTCTTCAACTACTTTGAATGTGTGTCATTTGCAATGGGAAAATCTGAACAGGCTCAAGGCTGAGTTTGACTCATGAAAAGCTACCACAATAGAAAGATCTTTGTCATTATATGCAGAGTAATCAGTCTTGAGGGGAGATCTAAATGCAAATAGACATTCCTGGACAGATATCAAACTATCAAAACCTAGGGTATATTTTACTAACTCATGAAACAAATTTTTGTGAAAAACAGAAATATATTAAATATTTATGATAAACTACAAGATAATCATTTCAGTAAACCCATTTATATAGCATTGTAATTATTATTGCAGGCATTAACTTTAGATATTAAGTTGGAAACTTTATAAAACCTGGATAATATAACAGTGAGTTTAGGAAAACATTGTAAGGTAAAGGAAGGCTTATCATAATGGAGAATGATATGAGATACTAACAAAAGTATTAAATTATAAAAATTCAGGCCTCTATAAAAAAATTAATATTTTCATCTCTAATACAATGAAATGAAAGTTGTTTTTTTTTTCAGTAAAATCAGCATGCATAAGTATGTTATAATGTTTAGCAACTTTCATGCAATATAACTACCAAAATACTTAGAAGGATAAAATTAAATGTAGCTATAAAATTAAATTTACAATAACAATAAGAAAAAGTATATTAGACAGAAAGAAAAAACTCTAACCACTTTGTCCTCCTGGTGTGAATATCCACGAAAGCAAGTTTAAAAAGACAGAAAAGACAAAACAAAAAAAAAAGAAAGAATTAATTCCATTCTTAGTAAGAGCAGCTTTTAAGAGTTTCTTAGTAAAAAAGTACAGAAAAATGTTTCCACTTTGACTGAATTCTAAAAACTCAACTTTAAATTAAGAGGAAAATTTTCCCATTTATTTCATTAAATTCAAGTAAAAAGCATTCCAAACATTAAATAAATTGAGATAGAAACAAAATAATTTCCATAAGAGCAATTAAATACCCAAATATCAGAAAAGGGAAAGTGCCCTTTTCACAATTAAGCCTTAACTAAATACTGAACTCAGAAAACAGAAAAAGATTTAGAAATAAAGCCTTTATATATAAAAATGAGAAAACATTGCATTGTTGCTCAATTAAACTACTATCAAAAGTAGACAAGATGAAGTATTACATGAAATATGTATATTTGCTTCACAAATTATTTCTATTAATTTAGATTTCTTCTAAATTTTACACAAATGAAAAGAAAAATTAAATAACTCATTAAAGATAAAATATTATTATTATTATTATTATTATTATTATTAGCAATTGCAGGTCATAGTCTCAATATCTGAAATGCAAACAAAGCAAAGAAGAAACACAGTCAAGAGAACCTTAGCTTCCCCTCAAAACCCTCCCTAAATACAGTCTTTATTTCCTCCTATATACTGTCAAAAAGATCAAAGTCTCCCTCTGCCTTGCTGGGTTTCCTGCTCTCTGTAGTTAACCTACCATCACTTTCTCCTGCATGCGGCCTTTTCTGATCAACTGAAAGGGCCCACTTTCATTTCACCACAATATTCTCACAGGCCTGGCCTCTTCAAATAAATAAATAAACTCTACTGTACACTTGACCTTTACATTAATTTGAATTGTCATCTTCACGAAAACAGAGTTTTCTTGCAGGAAAGAGCTTTATCAAATATATTGTCTCTTGTCTACAGAGTTCAATAGAATGCAACTATAATTACCTGATATTTTTTTAAAGATGCCCAAACTATCCACTGCAGAAAAGACAGCGCCTTCAACAAATGGTGCTGGTCAAACTTGTCTTCAATGTGTTTGTTTTTTTTTTTTTTTTAAAAAAAAAAAAGAGAGAGAGAGAGACTAGATTTTTATCTCTCACCCTGTACAAAACTCAACTCCAATGGATCAAGGACCTCAACGTAAGAACTGATACCCTGAAACTGCTAAAAGAAAAAGCAGGAAATGCGTCAACTTACAGGCACAGGAAGGGATTTTATGAATAAGATTTCAATAGCACAGGAAATAAGACCAACAATCAACAAATGGAAACACATGACACTAAAAAGTTTCTGTGCATCAAAGAAAAGTGTGAAGTGAGTGACCAGACAGCCCCTAGAATGGGAGAAATCTTTGCCATTCATTTGACATGATTAGTGTCTAGAATATACAAAGAACTATAAAAAAAAAAAAAAAGACTAAACATTAAAAAAAAAATAACCTCCCTTTAAAAAAGGTTATGGTACTGAATAGAAAATTCTCAAAAGAAGAAATGCAAATTGACTAGGAAACACATTTTTGTTTGTTTGTTTTGTTTTTCGAGACAGGGTTTCTCTGTTTAGTTTTGCGCCTTTCCTGGAACGGTAGCCCAGGCTGGCCACAAACTCACAGAGATCCGCCTGCCTCTGCCTCCTGAGTGCTGGCCTTAAAGGCGTGCACCACCACCGCCCAGCAGAAACACATTTTTAAAACTGTTCAACATCCTTAGCCATCAGTATTAAAAATGCTTCAAGATTCCATCTCACCCCATTGAGAATGGCCATCACCAGGAATAAATTCTGATGTGGAAGTCACAAAGAGAGAGAGAGAGAAAAGGAACTCCTACAGACTGCTTGTGGAAATGTATACTAATGCATCCACTTTGGGAAGCAGTTCATGTGTTTCTCAAAAAACTAGAAACAGAACTGCCATATGACCCAGCTATACCAGTCCTGAGCATATATCCTCAAAGGACCTCATATCCTCCTATTTGCACATCCATGTTCACAGCCACTCTATTCACAATGGCAAAGAAACAGAACCAACTAAGATATCCAACAAAAAAATGACTGGATAAGAAGGTGGTGCATATACACACTGCAATGTTATTCAATCGTAAATGAAAATAAAATCTCGAGGTAAATAAATGGAACTGAAAAAAATACATGCATACTGAGTAAGTTAATAAGGCTTACAAAGACAAACACAGTTGTCCTCTCTCATCCGCAGATCCTAGCCTCAAAACTTTTGTGTGTTTAACTTGTAGCACATGAAGAAACCAAAAAACTAGAAAGAGGTGTTGGGGTAGGGGATACAATAGGGACAGGAAATAGTAACTGATAGTGAAATGAAAGCAGAGAGGTGGAATCCTGAGGGTCGAAGGCTTAAGCAGGTAGAGGGCAGGGGTGTGGAGGAAATGGGGGAGGAGAATCTAGCCTAAAGAAAGTATTTGGAAAACCATATGGATGCCGACAATCTCACAGATGGGGAGGAAGAATCATTTTTTTATACTGTGCGCCCATTAGTACATTTCCTCTACTCCAGCAGGCAGCCCCACACTTCAGTTTTTGAGAAGGCCTGGGGCATTTGAGGGGAGGCAGAGAGGATGGAAATAGATACATGATCAAGATTCATTGTATAAACATATAAAATTCTTTAGGATAAAGAAAAGTTATTATTAAAAATAAATTAAAATTAAATGTTTGAAAAATGGCGGTGATGATATATATCCCAAAACAGCATGTCTATGATATGTACACCAGTATTTTCCTTCCAGTCATTCACTCAATGGTTAATACACTGACCTTTACATACTAAGTACAGCGAAACATGCACTGAGTAGTCCAAGTGAATTAAAGAGAAGCAATGCACTGAGTAGTCCAAGTGAATTAAAGAGAAGCAATCAATTAACAATGAAATTTGAGAATACTAGATTAGAGATCTGTATAATCCAGTGTACCACAAAGGAGTAAGTGGTTGATTCACACAGAATCCCCAAAGAAGGATCATGAAGGAGGTGGTGCTTATGTTGACAAAAACAAGTAACTGTTCATCAAGGAGGTAAGGATTTGAGAGTGAGGTCTAGAGAGGAGACTATTTCTGACTGCCGTAGAAGGACGAGCCAGGGCACAGCAGACACAGATGAAGATGACTAAAGAGCAGTACTGTGGTGTGGCCGGTCTGGAACACAGAGGACTGGGTGGAGTGCTCCTAAGTTAGTCAGGGGACAGACCGGGAGGCTCTTTACACCATGAGGAATAACTATGGCAGTGTGTGTGTCTGAGAAGCAAAGACTAGAGCACACAGACCTGTTAAGAGAATAGAATTACATGAGAGTCTGTAGAAACAAAACTATTCAACTTTTAAAACTTGTGGGGAAAGTGATAAAGGGAAGAAATCTGAGGTCTGGTCTAGGTGACAATGTGTAGTGATACTTTTGGAAAAGGTAAAAATTTCAGAAGGAAATCTGAGGATTATTCCAGTAGCAGAAAGGATACAGGAAGTCTAGTCTACAATAAGTAAAATCTAGTGGTATTCTAAGACATTTATGGAAGAAGAATTATAAAAAGAGCATTTCAAAAGACTACAATGTCATAGTTCTTTTGTGGATCTTAACTATTTGAATTTAAAACAAGTTAAAAATAAGGATTTCTTTAAAATGTGATTTCATTGTTCATTGTGTGGGGCTAATAATATTTGAAATTAACTTACTTTACTGAGTCTTAAACTATTATATAGTCTCCATTATTATTAGAAGGCACTGTGGTTGTCATTACACTCTTCCCCATATATTCTAAATAATGTTTCCTAACATGAGGTTTGCCATAGCTACTGATAAGCAGCTCATCTTAGCTACAGATTAGGACATTAGAAACTGAAGAGTTCAAATTCTCCAAGAGTTGAAGAGCAAGCAGATAGCAGATATAGGTTTAAATGCAGATATGATCATAACTTGCCCTGCATCCACTAGTTTTTCTCTTCTCCAAAATAAACTAGATTATGTGCATCTCATACATGTTCAATCTAGCATTAAAGTTTAAGTGCTTATGACACATTTTTAGATGTTATAAACTGATTGATTAAATATGTGTTTATCACATCTTGACACTACTTAGTTCATTCACTATAAGGAACATGTCGACTGTGCATCCTGTGGGACAAATCAGCACCCACTACCAAACCCTCATCCAAACCCAACTTTCATTTCTTTTTTTTTTTTTTTTTTTTTTTTTTTTTTTTTTTTGGCTATGGTGTTTTATTATGGCAATAGTAACCCAAGCTAAGACACCTAATGTGCACAAG